TCCACCCCGCACAACATGATCTACTCGACCACCATTATGGTTACCGCAAAAAAACAAACGGAGGTAAAAAAACAAACGGTAACCTGGTTGCCGAGCTCACAAAGTGAATTGGCTTGTTTTACAACGTGGTTGCCAAGCGACGAAAACCCAATCCCGATGGCAAACACCGGGGGGGGGGGGGAGGGGGGGGGGGGGGTAGGGAGGGAGAGTGTTTTTTTTTGCGTCGCCCCCCGCCCCCCCGCGCCGCCGCGGGCTGCGGAGCCCACTGCTGTTGTACTGCTGTACTGCCACAAATCACGGGAGTCAGGAAGTCCAGGAGGGTGACAATCCCAATCATCAGTGTTCGCCACCACCGAGCTGTCGATTGAAAATTCTGCATGAAAAGGGTTGGTGTTTTTGTTGTTTTTCTCCGATCATTGGATTCTGTCGTCTGCCCCTCTGGTCCATATCCTTCACTTCTACCAGCTAGACGACCCAACCGGGGTCACAGAGGAGCGGGGGGTTGGACCTCCTCCTGCGGTTCCTGCCTGAGATATTTTTATCGCGAGAAGGGTACAGCAATCCCTTCCCTCGCGACTTATGAAGTCGATCAAGTTTACTAACAACGAGCTTTCTTTGCAGCGCCTCGCTTCCAACGGAGACCAGGATTTAATAAGCGAGAAACAAACTCACTCTGTCGAGACTCGAACCCATGACCTGGCCCGTAGCAGGCTACGAGGCTACCCACTAGACCACCGGGGCGACCGGTGTTGTGTTTATTGTTGATTTCTTCGCCAGAAACAAGAAAATAAGGAAACAAGAGATGAGCAGGATGCGACAGCCCAAACAAAGGAATAAGGAATCCGTTTCGAGGAATTGGGCCGACTTCGTCTGGTCCTTCGGGCGAAAACAAGAAATTGAGGCTCGACCCGATTTTGACGTTTCTTATCTCAGGGCCCGTTCTGTACAGAACGGGCCCGCAATGAAGAAAAAGTTTGGGCCCGCATAATTGGCTCAACTTTTAACGAAAAATACGATAACAGGGCGACGAAACTCAGCTCAATCTCGACCACTACACAAGAAATGTCCCCATAAGAAACATGATCGTGCAACACCCTCGAGATAAAGGAAAAAAGAGGGGTTGCTGGGGGAGCGCGTCCAATGAGAAACGTCCCACCGATGATGCTGCTGCTGCCATGCTCCCGACCCCTACCTAGCTCATGTAGTACTTATTCGTAAGCGGGGGGGAGGATATTTTCGCGGCGGCCCCCGCGCCCCCGCGCCGCCGCGAGCTGCGCTTTACCCACCAGCCACTGCTGCTGTAGTGGTTGTGTGCGTTGTTTTCTTCCCCAGAAACAAGAAAATAAGGAAACAAGAGATGAGCAGGATGCGATAGCCCAAAGGAATAAGAAATCCGTTTCGAGGAATTGGGCCGACTTCGGCTGGTCCTTCTGCCCAAAATAAGATATTGAGGCTCGACCCGATTTCGACGTTTCTTATCTCCGGCCCCGTTGTGTACTTCGTATTATTATCTCCAGAACAGAAGCAAGATCATTCACTTGTTGTTGTTGTTCATGTTCTATCCCTGCCTGACCGTCGACTCACACTTTTTGTTTCGTACAGCGCGTAGCAAGGCAAGCGGGTTGTCGCGTTGGCGTTTCGACTTTAGCGCACTCGCTGAAAGAAATCATCAAGAGACTTCCTGCGCTGCTTGCGCCTCTCGTGCAACGATTAGACTAATCGTTCGTCGTTTCGCACGTACGTCGTGTTGATTGGCCACTTGTAACTCCAAAGGACTGAACTCCAAGTACAGAGAGCCGGCGCGCTCACACGCTCCCAAGAATCGCCCTCACATGAATCGAGGCTCAATAAGTCTAAAATAATACCAATGAGAGTTGGCGTAAGAAATAATTTGCCTTAGCCGCAGACACCACGCTGAATCCTCTACGGCGGCATAGACCATAGACTGTGCTCAATTGTTGAGACCCTGCAAGGGATTGGGCCTGGTCGGAAAATGTTTCTCTTACGAGCTGGCCGGCACTGCATATTGTCTTCCTCTAGGGATTAACCCGAAATATCGTTGATACTTTTTCCTAGGTTCAAATCTCTAACAATGGAGTGCCACAGCCAGCCGCGGTGCTGCAGCAGAACAAATCCACCAAATAAACGGAATGATATGTTGCGCATACATACAGAGAGCGGAACCGCCCCCAGAGAACTTGATAGTTAACGTAAGAGCTTGGGGGCGCAACAAGTTTACCTTGAATCCTCACTTCGATATATTAAGACGAAAAAGAGGACCCTTAATGGCAGTTGTATTTCTTTTTTTCGGTCACGAAGAAAGGGATCCAGGAGCGAGCTTCGAGCAAAGAAGACGTTCTCTGGTGGCGGAGCGTTCGGTACCCACCCGACAGCAACACCCCGTCGTATGTATGTATGCATACGACTATTAGGAACACTTCTTCACTCCCTCTCCTGTTTGTGTTCGACACGGACGTCTGCCTCTCAGCTGCACCGTGAAGTTGCACTACGCCCCCGTCGCTCGACGTGCCTCCTAGTACTTCGGGAGGACCCTGCAGATCCCTGCCAACCTCGTTCTCTACGGAGGGGCGAGCTACGGAGGGAGGCAATGTACATGGAGAACGGCACCGCCATTGTAGGTCATGCCTGCTTAGTTTTGAAACAAACGAGTGTTCGTCAGCTCTTCGAATGAACGTTATAGGGATACATCCGTAGTTACGTTCGTGTGATGCCCCGCCATCCCGGGCATAGGCAGGCATCGATAGTAGGTTGCAACACGTATCCAAATCAGTTAAGAACATGTTAATATGGTGCAGCTCGAGCTTGGTAGCTTTGGCCGAGCAGCGGAAGTAAAGGGTGTGTGTGTGTAGAGCCACGTGACGATGGCATGGCATGTTTTGTTCGGCGTTACAAAAATGTGGAAATCGCGTCACCTGCACAAAGTCGGGTAGGAGCATCTCTAATGTTTCACCGACCACCGTCGCAAAGCACCAAGCCCAAAGCGCGGCGAGGTGTTCGCCGAACACCGCGAAGCACGAGGAGGGAGTGGGGGTAGCTGGTCACTTGGCCGTTGATCGGCACGAATGCATCCCTTTCGACGGAGCACCGGTAAAAAGCACCTTACGAGACAGACACACAACCAACGTTCGTTCCGCCATCACTTGTTTGGGGTGGATGCCAAACCTCGTATTATTGGTCCGCCGACGAAAATAGCCTGCCTGTGTTGTTGGTATTGCCCTCCCAGTTCTTTTCAAACCCGAAAGACCTGAACGGATCCACGAACCCGTCATTGTCGTTGAGAACGAGGGGTTGCGCCACGTCTTTTATTCTAGGCGACGAGAAATAGGTGCCCATGTTCGCCTGCAGTGCACGCAGATGTTGTCGGCAGCTAAGGATGGACATAGGGCCATCGTAATGACCTTTTTGCTTTTCTTCTTCTTGGCCACTCTTGATCAACTTTTTCTTTTTTTTCTTCCGCCCGTGCCCGTGCTCAACGTCTGACCCTAGCGTCCGGTTGTAGAGATCGATTGTTGAGCAGACAGCCGTGTGGTCCTCGTCGTGCCTGGGGAGATGGTGGGGCGCCGCCACGACATCTACATCAACCCACTCCTACCCCCAGACCAGTGCGAACTCCTCGTGATTTCTTCGGAGTTTGCGAAGAGAGGTTAGGTCATCCCCCATCTATAGCGTTCGGGTGGCAAACGACGGCGGTTCGCAACGGATGGCAGCGAGGAGTGCGCACCGATATGCAACAAGATTTGTTGTAGAAACGTCAGAAAATGGTGTCGAAGGAAGGGGCTTTTGATCCTCCAAATCTTCACAGCAGCGAACGGTGGTAATAAAGAGGGCTCAAGAAAGAGTTGCAGGGATAATCGTGATACAGCCGGTAGTTGCAGTCTCCCTGGCGTAAAGCGAAGTCGGATTGAAAACAGCTCAGTTTTCAGGGGATTGACGCCAGCAGGAGAGAAACAGATGGTGCTTCGTGATGTTGGGTCTTCTTCTTGTTCTTGAGAAGCAGGACACTTACTGTCGTCCAAGTCCTGCCCCCCCCCCTGTCAGTAGAACACCTACCGTTTGATTCGAAAGCGTGCTGTTCACGCTTTCAATCCTCCCGCTTTAGTCTAAGATCTATTGTCTTTGGATTGGTCAGCCGGCTAGCACGGTCGATGCTAGTTCAAGAAGCACTTATACAATCACATGTGCGGACTTAGGGTGGTGATGGATTCATCCAGGATAGGCGCGGCAGATTGTTTTCTGGCACACTCCGCCCGCTACGTGTGTATTATTTTATTATGTTTCTATGTGGCATGTATGATATTTTTTCGCTCGCCCAGATAGATTGAGGTCAGGTGTGCTTCTTATCCTCAGAATGCCTTTATCGAGAACCTGAACCTTGCCTTGTCTGCCATGGGACACGGTATGCGAAAACCTGAACGTGGATGCACGACAACGACTAGTTGTTGTCGAGGAGAACATGGCGCGCATACGCCACGTACTGTCAATAACATCATGGTAGGTCAGGGCATAGCAGTGACAGCCCCCTCCTTAGTATAAGTACGGCGGGCCGGGGCGGATTGAAGCACATGTGTGGCGTTTAAGTGAAGGAGGACTCGCGTGAACGTTGGGCCCGATAAGCAGACACTTTGTTCGCTCCTCCTGTAGACAGCCCCAAAAAAGAACCGTAAGAAATAGCCTAGAAGCACAGCTCAATCCCGGCCGTAACATAAGGAACGTCCCAACAAGAAACATGATCGATCGTGCGATACCCCAGACAAACGAAACAAGGGGTAGAAGCTGGAGGGGAGGGTGTCCATTAAGAAACGCCCCACTGCTGCTGCTGCTGCTGCTGCTGCTGCTGCCATGCTCCCATCTCCTAACTCTCTATTTTTTGGTCGGTGGGGGG